GCCGTGGGGGCGGGGCGCCGTGGGGGGCGGGGCCACGAGCTCCGCGAGGGACGTGGAGGCGCGCGGGACTGGGGAGGGGCGCCGTAGCTGCGTCCCAGGGTAGGCGGGGTAGGCGACGAAGTCTCGCGGTATCGAGGGCTCACGGCTTTTGTGGGTGCCCGCCTGGGCTGTTGTGGTCCCGAGCGTGCAGAGGAGTGGTGTGTGGAGTGTTTCTGTCCACTCACCCGACCGCTCTCGGGCTTGTCGCTTCTCTTCGGTAGGCCCTGAAAATACCCGACTCATGATGAAAGCCCGAAGGGAAAGACAAGAGAAACTGCGTGTAGTTGGATTTGTTTTGGAAGCTGCCAAATGACTGATTTTTTAAAAAATACTATGTAGTCTCTGAAAAACATAAAACATTACGAGGAATGGTAAAGCTTAACTGTAGAGTCAACAAAGTCGAATTCTTGAATTCTGAATAACATACCCAGCAAATGAAAGAAAGCTCAAGAGTTTATATGAATGAAAGGAATTACTGCCTCACTCGGGTGTGAAATAATTTTCTAGAGTTCGTGAAGTTAAGACCTGGAATGTTCCGTATCGCACTGAAGAAGAGTTTAAATCTGTTTAGGAAACAATATCCACAACGACTCATGAAAAAAGTTTTTGAAAATGGACTGTCAATTCCTTGAACACTTCTTTTGGAGAAACTCACACAGTTTCTTCGAACCACTGAAGAGGGCAAATTAGTCTAATCTTCACCGTCGTCTATATAACCATCTTCATTGTTAGCAGGCACACAACACTGAAAACACTTTCTGTAAAAACACAGCTTTGCTTTTATATTTGCTTATAGCATTCAAATTTTATGAATTTTTGCATAATTGAGTCGTGATTTTTATACAACTATATGTTTTACATTTTTCCCTTGCCACACTAAATATTTGTCATGTGTCTACAATCTTAATAATTTATAAAAGTAGCGTAATATTCCCCTTAGGTAGTTTCTACGTATACTCAATGTCACATCCCCAAAATTGAAACTGAGATTACTACCACTTCAAGAAGGAAATGTAAAAGAACTGAATATAAGCGAAGAAATGTCATGTATACAAATTTTAACATTATCCACTTACAGTGGGGCACACTGGTAACCCAGCACTCAGGGAAAACAATAAAAAAAAAAAAAAAAAAAAGCATCTGGGGGCGGTTGGCATTTAGCTCAGTGGCACAGTGCCTGCCTAGCAAGCATGAGGTCATGAGGTTCTGAGTTCGATTCCTGGTACCCTCCCACAAAAAACTGGGTATGGGAGCATGCCTGTAAGCCCAGCACTCCAGGAGACTGAAATAGAAAGATCACAAATTTTAGCCCAACCTGGACAACTTAGTGACTTAGGAAGGTCTTGTGATACCGTGTGGTGGAGCCGACGATCAATTCCAGGCTCTTGTGTATGAGGGAGCAAAGAATTACAAGTGTACATCCAATGAGAAAAGAAAGAGCAACTACATTTATTGAAAATAGAAGACGTGCTGAGGGCAAGCACTAACAGAAAAGTGGTGTTAGATGGAAATAAAAAGCACAGCACACGAATAAATCGGGCTTGGAATCTCCTATCCATGGTGCCTTTCACTGGGTCTTTGGATATGATTGCCAGGGTGAATCATCTCAAGTCTTTCAATACACAGGCTTGTCACAGAGTTCCTTCCGATTAAATTACATACTTGAGATGCAGCCCCTATATATGAACCTTTAATGAGGGTCAAGTGGGGGAAAAAGTTACCGAGGGTCAAGCCTTGAGATTTAACATGCATATGTCCTGGCCTGGAGATTTCCTAGATCTTTGTTTTATTTTCTGCTTCTCTCAGAACAAAGGAAAAAAGATTGGCCCTGGGGTGTTGCCCAAATTCAAGTGGGTGGAGGCGTATGGTCTCCCAACCCCAGTGTGCTACCTGTACTACTTGTCTCAAAAATAAAAACTAAATAAAGGGCTGGAATGTAGTTCAGTATAAAGGCCCTGGTTTCAATCATCAGTGCCTAAATAAATAAAATAGCCAAGAGGACAACTTTTGTTGTTGTTTATTGAGACAGGGTCTTGCTATATAGTTCAGGCTGGCCTTCAACTCACTGTCACTACTAGCCCAGGCTGGCCATGAACTCACTGCCTAGTGCAGCCTGGCTTTGAACTCTGATCCTCCTGCCTCAGCCAAGTGTTGGGATTACAGACATGCACCACCACACCAAGAACGAAGAGATCAACTTTGTTAGCTCCTTATAGGTCATTGTTCCACACTCCTAGGTTATAGCCAGCAATCAGTGTCCCAACAAAGGCCTAACTTAAGCTGACCTCTCTTTCTCATGTAATTCAACAAAATGATGTAATTACCACCTTTAACCATATGAAATATATTTGTGGTTATATAAAAAAGCAGAAAGTTGTATATAGTAAATATGTCCTTAGTATGGTGATTTTACCCTCAGGGGAGAAAAGTTAAAAGGTGGTGTGAAAAAAATGGAGAAATAGAAGAGGAAGAGATTAGAGGAACGCTGGAGGACAAAGCAAGATTACACAAACTTTTAGAAACTAGCTAAGAAGACAGAAGAGAAAGAGAGAAAGAAGCAATAAAAATAAGAAAACAGCAACAACAAAACTAGAAACAATGTTCACAGTCATAAAAACAAGAACAAACAATCATGGAAAAAAAAGAAAAAACAAAAGCAAAAGCAAAAGAAGTGAAAAATAACTATATAAGGAAAAAAATGTCTGCTTCAAGGCCTTTCTCTGCTGTCACTGGTGGACAAAGTGGGCAGACAGTCCAAATCCATGTGGGTTAATCCCAGCAAGCCTGCACCTTTAGTTCCACTACAGTTCAGGCTGGTTTCTGGCCATGACACTGGAACCCAATTTGTTCAGCCTATAATACTCCTCTGTCTCCTGCCAGCTTGAACCCGGCTCCCTGACAGCTTGAAGTTGGCTTCTTGACCTCCTCCTGACTTGAACTTGGTTCCACCTTACCCTGACACTGGGAGCTGCTCCACTGAGCCAGCCCACAACTGCTCTAAATTCTGAGCTCAGTTGGCCCCTATGCAAGATTGCAATCGGCCAATTGCCGTCTCCCATGGGACATTTGAACCTAAATAACTCACCAGTCAGTTCAGTGCTATGTTCACTCATGTGCTCCACTGGTGTGTTTTTCACGGAGGCCTCTGGGGTTGCCCACAGTCCCTGTGCATCTATATGTTCAAGCTGCCCCTCCCATGCTGAGAGTCAAGTCTCAGGAGGAAAGCGCCACTTACCACCTCCTTCTGCATTGAGGGCTCTCTCTTCACTGTCCCCAGGGGCTTCACTTCTTCCTTCAGATCCTTGCTGGGGGCCCAGGGACCCACTTCCCTCTTTCTGCTCTTCCTCATGTTGCTGTATTCCAACGTCCGAACCCCACTTTTAGGAGAGGTTGTCTCTCTGCTGTTCATCACTCTTCCATCTTCCTGGAAGTTTCCACCCTGGATTTCTAAATACCCACTTTTCCTTATATCTTCACTGTGAGTCCAGAAGAGTCATTATTACCTCATATGTGAGACAGCAGTAAGGAAGAGGGATTGGTGCAGAAAAGAGGGAGCATCCTTATTACTTATATTTTCAGGTATATAAGTTGTTTCTTCTTTTCATGCATTGCTTGGGATAAATTTCCAGGAAGTAAATCACAGAATACTTACCTGGATTTTTATGTACATATTTTATACTGTTTCCTAGGGTTAGACCAATCTGCTATACGACCAGCAAGGGAGTGTTAGCTTCACCAAAACTTC